CCATTCTGAAAATGAAACTAGTCTTCCAAAATATGTGGTAAGGCCTTATGGGAAATGTTAGCAGAGCTTACTTCCAAGGAGGGGTACTACTTGACCAAGAAACATCTTGGTGGACTTGCAGTGAACTTGTCTGCTTAGTAGTCTCATTCCTAGTTTGCTGTCTAGAAAATAAAGAATTTGGCCATTAGTTGTTTAAATCCTAGACATTTTATGTTTGCCAGTAATTATTTTCTTTATTGAAAGATCAGAAACTGTGTCTAGTCTCTATTTCTTCTTGTTTGAATTTGCTTACTATCCCTAACAACCTCTTGTTTTTGGGTCTTAATACATACCCATTGATTTTAGTTTCACTTGAGAATAAGGTTATGCTGTTATTATGAAAGAAAAATATCTTTGGAGAAACTAATCAGTTGAGACTTGAATGTATCAAATAAAATATAAAACTGAGAAACTGAGTTTCAACGTATTTACCTTGGTATTTGTAAACATTACAACATTACAAGTGGTATTTTTGTTCCTAATTCTGTTAAGGAGTACAGTTTGTGCAAAACTTAAAATATTATAAATGCAGGACATGTCATTGATATTATTAATTATTTCTTAGGCCTAGCTTTAAATAACATGGTATTGTGCTGTAGTATCAACAATTGTTAATTTAGTGATCATATATTTCAAGTTTGGTCATCAATAAGTCATTGTCTATGTAGCATTTGGTGCTGTAGTATAAACAATTGTGAATTTAGTAACTATATATTACAAGTTTGGTCATCAATAAGTCATTGTCTATGTAACGTTTGATTGACCAACATTGACTTTTGAAATATTTTTGTTTTCGCAGAAATTACTGGTAGCCAAAGTGATCAGCTTCGTAATGAACTAAAAGTGATTGTTTAAGAGATTGTAGGTAACACATCACTGAACTGGGTTAGGTTAAAGAAAAGGTAGTAATAGATAATATGAGAAATATTTAGCCAGTTACTGTTCACACATAGTAATCATTTAGCCTTAATTAAGATTGCATGATTGTTTTATCATAAGTATTTGTTTTGATTCTGGAAAGAAGAAGAATTTCAGAAAATGTTTATTATAACTAGGACATACTAGTTGTATATTTGTATATTTTCTGTTTAATAAACCACCCAATTTTATTCTTCAAGAAGTCTGAGAGTCACCTATCCATCACAAAAAATTCCACACTATATATATATATATATATATATA